TTCATCATGCGCTTGTCTCGACAACCTTGGACAACAGACGTAATGTTTTTGCTGAGTGTAGAAATTCCCCGGCGTAATTGTCCTTCAAACGCCTACTTCCTTTTAGAACACGGGCCAGGACTGAGAGAATACTTCAAGTTGTTCACTCGAGTAGATCGTACACTCCGGGTTATGTAGCGTATTTTCCGCACGATAACGTGCTTTCGGAGTTTAAGGCGCACCTTCAATGAAGCGCCTATTTTAAAACGGTTTTCATTATAGGGCGCACCGCATTATAAGGCACATAGAATAGAAGCTACAATCCGGGCTGCGGTTGTGTTATGCAACCGCTAGATGGCACTACGCTAAAGGGAATACAATACAACACAGCTTCATTTATATCAAGCTTCCACAACCGATGCAGCTTTACAGAACATTTAAAATACTACGTCCAAGGAATCAGAATATTGATCCGCATATGAGGTGCATCGGATTATAAGGCGCACTGTCGGCTTTTGAGAAAATGGAATGCTTTTTTGCGGAAATCCGAGCTAGTCCGCTAAGTGGATACTGACCGGTATGAGAGGCAAGGGGCTTTGTTAATGCAGTCGGTCGGGGTCCCGTGGTCACCGACGCTACAATTAATAGATCAATGCGGGCTGAATGTTAAGTGTATTAAATGATCCCAAGAGGCGCAGGGGCTCAGCTGGCGAGAAGGGCGACCGACCGACCACCTTCTTCAGCCATCCCCCTTTGAGGGCGTAAGGGTGAGCTCATCATCCATCACCGTGCGACCCCGCCCTAAGCCTCCCTCGTCACTCCACTCACCTAATTAATTTGCCTCCTTTGGATTAGCCCCCCCCTCCATCTCTCGGAGGCCAACCATAGCTGTTGTCGTCTTCGCTCATTCAACTCTCCGCTATCGGCGCATAAATGATCTTACTGTATTCATACGAGAAGGAGGAAGAGATTAAAGTTTTACAGGATTTGCTTTTTCTGAGGTAAAAGATCAACCGTGTCAAAGCTCGTTCGCGCTGTACGTCCAACTAAGGTTCTGGTAGCACTGGAAATCGTGAGGCGAGCGAATTATTTATGTCCATTTTTCCATCCGGCCATCCATTTTCTATTCTGCTCATCCTGTTCGGTGTTCTTGAAAGCAGGACATTCAAGCTAAGGGCAGACGACATCCCGGATTGGTCGCCAGTACCATGTCCGCGCTGCCGGCAGGCAAGTCTGGCGAGCGAACTACTGACTGACTGCCAGCACGAGTAGTCTGGCTTTCACCCAAATGCCCAAAACTTGCATTTGAAGTTCACAAATGGTTGTGCGTCTGCATTTGGGTGCCGACCAGTCCAGGGTGCTCTCGTCCAAAGAGAGCTGGAATAGGCTGTAGCCCACCTGCAACCCTAATGAGCACCAAGCCTTACGAAAATAAAAGTAAAACCTTTGGATTCAGCAAGGTGCGATCGTCTGAAGAGATCATTCCAACGCAATGTACACTTGCAGGTATTGAGGCAGTTACGCCATCTCGAGCATTGGTCTCTTTAGCCCTGGGAAGTTTGACTTGAACGCGATTAAAATGAAAAGGACTTTTTTTTTTCCCCTCCGGGGATAATCACGGTCTTAGAGTAAAAGCGTGCTTTGATGCTGAATTTTCACATGGCCACATGAAGATGAAGATTGAAATTTTGCACGGGTTGCATCACGTCCGCAACGCGTTTGCTTCAGACCAAACGTTATGCAGGTGTGTCTGTCGTAAGCCACCTATAATTCATTTTACGACTTCCTGCTTGCCTCAGCGGAGGACTTTCCGCTCGACAGCCGGGCACAAGACGGACGGCCTTCCGCTTGAGCGCAACGGATTTTAAAGGACAGCGACGGGTGGCTAAGTGTCAACTGTCTATAAAGCTCTTTTTATAAAAACATAAATTGAAATGCCTTCCTCGTTGTGTGGTATTGATGACTCTGGGACAAAGCGGCAGGGTTTGGGCGACTGCCTCGAGCCCCGCGATCGAGCGCCCTAATTAAACAATTAATCTCACATCATTAACCTCGGCGGATACCCGTCTACCCGTCACTTTGTGACGCCGCTGCACTTTGGCTGATGAAAACAATTCCATCTACTTTATTTTGTTGATGCTATTATTCTACAAATGGGGCATATTGCTTTTTCCGGATCATTTTCCTGCCACGGCGGTCCCCGTAGTCCATCTTTGGCGGGCCGGGGACCGCAGCTGTGTGCTAAATGCATTACTCTCTCCAAGTGGCTCTCCGAGGTGGATATGGTTACCTTTAATTAAAAGATAATCAATTTCCCTGTCCCCTGTTTGATTTTTGAACCGGGAGACCATATGGACCGTTAAAAAAAAGAAAAAAAAAAAAAAAGAAAAAGAAAAAAACAATCCAATTTGCAGCCGCCCAGCTGCCCGTCTGGTCCCCCCCCCCCCCCCACAAACCACTTTGGCACGTGCATTACATCACCACATTGTAAGAGCTTTTCGAGATTGCCAATTCAATCTAAAAGCTTGCTTACACGGCACAATTTGGGAAGCTGTTGCTTTGGTCACAATCTCATCAATTGTAATTTTGTAATCGCGACAAGTTACTTTTCATTTGTCAAATTGTTTTTTTTCTAATCGCATGCTTTTGACGAACAAGTACAACAACGGGGTCTTCGGAATGAACAACGTGCAATAAATAAGTCGATGGCTCATATATGCGGGAGCACATACGGTTCGATATTCTAAAGTCACGTTCCAAGGTAATAAGTTAATTACGGCGGCAGCGTAATCCTCAGGCGCGTCCCCAAAGGAGGCCTTTGTGGTCGTCCTCGCATGAAAAGCTTGTCCAGATTAGAACGAGAGAGGCACGCCGAGGCGACACATACATCAAAAGCTTGTTAACGCCGGCAAAATAACTCACAACGGCGGCGCTACACAAAAGACGGTCCGCTCCAAGAAGCCGGCCGCGCGACTTTGATGCCGACCTTGCGGGCCCCCCGAGGCCTATTGTCTACAAGTGGTGTTGGTGGAGCGGCCCCCCTGCTTGATTAGGCTTAGCTCCTGGGGGGGGAGGATCGATGGGGATGTCTGCGATCAGCGCTCACTGTAATAACGCCGCCTTTGCCGGCGCTCAATGACAACACAAGACCAAACGATGTCACCGGGCCGATAGTGCCGCCCCAGGACTTATTTGCGCTGCCCAATCGCGACGTCGCTTTAATTGCGCAGCGGTGCAAAATGAAGGGGCGGCTAACGGCAACGAGCGAGCGCTTGCATCGCGCGGTCGCTGGGCTCCGTCGCCGAGGACCCCTTCGCACGCCACTCGTTTCAGAGCCAGCTGCTTCAGAGCACCTCTGGCCAAGCGGAGGAACCGTCAAAGCATCCGAGGAGCTAAGGCTATTCTTGGCCGCGTCCGCACACACACACACACACACGTCTTGTATATTTCCAGTTTCTTCTTTTTCTTGTCTTTCCGCCCACACGCAAACTGGATGTCAGGTCACTGAGTTTTGGGAAAACTGGAGATTCATATCAAAACTAAAAAGATAACAGTGCGCTGGGGGAGTTTTGTAGTTTTCATGAAGATTTTTAAGACCCTCCCCCCCTCTCTGCCATCCACTAAAAATGTCGACTGCAAGTGCATAATATGCGCTTGTCCTTATATTTTAAAACCTTGTGCAATTTGACGAGATAGAAGAAATGTTACAGTGGTTGCAGAACAAACGAGCAAAATGAACTTAATCCATCATTTCGGGACGTCACAATCTGATTGACTTGATCAGAAATGGATGGTGATCACGTTTCTCGAGTCGCTGCTCTTTTCAGTTGTTTCTGAGCCCCCTTTGACCTTGATCCGTTAATATCCCAAGAGACAAGACGATTCTGGTGGTTTTCTAAGAATCTTGCAAAGAGACAGTCCGACGTCGCTTCATCCTAAACCTGCTGTGCACCCTTCCCCATAATATCTGTCTGTCGTCTGCACTAGAGTACAGGAAATCCAAAACCGACACTATCAAGTTCACATAACTCGAGTTGCAGAGGAGAAATTACAGGCACCACATTTCCACAAGCCTGCTATTAGTGGTAGGTGTTATTTTCGCCCCCCAACGGTCTTTTTTTAATTCCATGTCTGCTTCGCGCTGGCGGTAATAACAGGTCTGCCGTGCCCGTTTTTTTCCTCGCATGCATGCACACCAAAATACAAGCGTAGCTTAACCTCAGACCAGAGGCGGGCTTCATTGGGTTGCTTTTGGGTTTTATCTTCCCTTCCTCACTGGGAATTCTTTCTTGTGCCCGTATCACTTATTTATTTCCGAGCGAGCCTGTGTGGCTTTATCTGTAAAATGAGAGACAAGACCGATATTACTCAGTAGGAAGCGTGTGATCGGTCACCGCGTACTATGGCTTGAACTTAATTATGCAACCTCGGAGAGTTAAAAATGAGTAGGGCGCGACCGATAGAGATTTTTATGAGGCGATGCCAATTTTCCGCAGGGAAAAAAAAAAATATCAATCACCGATTAATCAGTACTTTACTATAACAAAAAAAGAAGAAAAAAAAAGACACCACCTAGAGACGACGACGACACAACTCAAGGAGGCAAAGGGCTCACGCAAACAAGTCGACTTGGAGCAACGCATGAAAGGAAGGGCCAGTTGCCGTGGCTCAGTCGTGGTTGTGGGGTGTGTGTACGCTCTGACAGCACTATAGGTGAGGTCACGTGTTGAATTAATTCCATCCCTGACCTTGTCTTGGCCGCGGCAGAGCCTCTCAACCCCCCCCCACCGACCCGCCATAGGTGCTGCAACATCCCATTGTGCACCTTTTTCCCGCCTGGGCTGTCATTCAGAGCGACAGCAGATGGAGACACAGATGGCTCTTTATTATAACACAGTGGAAGCTCAATGTCGATCCAAGACGACAGTATAACGACGGAAAAAAGGAACGTTGTCGTTCCTGCGTTTCTGATGCAGGTGCTCAATAGAATACGACCGACAATATCGAGCAAAGAGACTTACTGTCTGCCACAGAGGAGATGGCAGCGCAGCTGAGGAGCAGGGGCAGGACGAGACACGCCCCTCTGTGTGGCGGGGGTGCCATGTCTCAAGGTCGGCACTGCTGCTGCTGCTGCTGCTGCCGCCGCCGCCCTCGCTCGTCGTCCCCCTGCTTAGACGCGTCCCGCTCTGACACGATCAAAGGTTAAAGCCTGCAAGGGCAAACATGAGCACAATTAATTACAGAAAATGAACAACACAGACATTTACAGTAACGTCATCAAACCATGACAGACATCCATCGACTTGTTTCCTTAAGAGCTTCTGTTGCTACTGCAAGCTTATTCTCGCTCCCTTTGACCATTTCAGATGGAAGAAATGGCACCTGAGATGAAATGGTTGGTATTTTACCCTGAGCTAGGAATACTTTTCTTGGAAATAAAGCAGAAGCAAATTTGTTTTCAAGGCTTATAAAAGTGCTTGACTTGTAAAGTCATCACAGAAACCATTGCAATTTTACAAGCAATCAATTACGCAGCAATTACCCAACATAGCCACCTCTGAGGTGAGGAAAACCATCTGAGATCCGATCGGCTGATATTTTGCATTATTTTTGGATCGGCCGTATTGTCTTTAATTCACCGGTTGATCAATGAGATCTTTAATAGGCTCTGCGAAATAAATCGTAAGAGCGGTTAGGGTTTCCCACATTTACATATGGCGGGCCACCGCAAATGAATTTTTGTCTCTACTGAAAGATTTTGGCGCTAGCCGTCAATGTGTAACTGCGGTCACATTGACTCAAGTATCAACCTGATTGACGTTTTAAATTTGGGAATCGATCTTAGTGGTATGAGCTCAAACAGTATTGATCCCCTTACTCACTACTCCAGCAGGTGCAATGGCCGTCAGGTCAATTTCACAGCACACCCTGTGCTCCTTTTGTTGTTTAAGTGTGTGGTTTGGCTTGGAAACACCACTCTGTATTTGGCTAAAGCCGACATGAAGTCGTCAGAGTCTTCCGAGTTTTGAATTATGCTGCGAAATGGCGTTGAATGGAAAACGAATGACATGAAATCACGACTTTGAAATGTGAACGTTAGAGAGGTGAAAACGTAAACAGGTTCGACCGTATTGACCCACCCATCCAAGATCCCTTGTGACAACAGAGCATGAACTCTCAATGCCAATATTGTGATCCAATTCCACGAAGAAACAAACAACTAAATTCTGCTCGGGGCGAGCGCGGCGAAACGAGTCAAACCAGCAACACGAGAGCAGACGACAAATCCGCGACAGTGCTGCAGTTATAATTGATGGGAAGAATGTCAGAAAAAGACAACGTAAGATAGCCATGGTGAGGGAGGATCTTCTTTCAAATCTCTCGAGGCTCTCCCGGAGGAACGGCGTTCACTTGACGCTCGCCATTAGGAGGATTGCCACTCCAGATGGGTTCAAATTAACCAAAGTGCCACTATGTCACTGAAATGCAACATGTATGCCTAGCTAACGCCCGCCACCCTCTCGGCCCCCCGGGGAGAAGTGCTAGCAGCATGTGTGCCACAAATGAAGCACAATTAAGCAGCGCCATAAAAGGCAGCGGTGTTAAAACAGTTGGAGAAAATGTACTCGAAGAAGAAAAGAAAAAAAAAAGTCTGTTCAGCCTGCATGGCTTCTTTTTTTTTGTCTTTTTAGGAATTAGATTTACTGTAGAAAATAATGGGATCAAGATATATGACCTCAACTTTTTTCCCCTTTTAGCCTGCAGATTCTGCCTAATGCTATTACAAACAAAGTAACTGCGCGTGCCCATAAATTGCACTAACAAAATTTCTTATCCTCTCGCCCGGGGGGCATCTTTGATGAGCAATTGTAACGCTATAAAGCAGACCCACAATCTGGTACGGATAGAAATCTTGTCTGTTCATGGAATTAAAGTAGTATCTCCAGAGGACTTTTGGGTAGAAAAAAAAAAAAAAGAAGAGTTCTTTGAAAAGTTGTATCTTGAAGGGCTTTACGACAATAAATCTTAAAAAGTCTGCGGCCTATTTTCACACAAGCTGGGTGGCCAGTCAGCTTTAGTCTATTCATTTCGGATCGATATGTTAGCATGTCAGGGAAACAAAACCTTCGTTATTTGCAGCGGGGCGGGGGGAAAGAGGGATGGATGAAATTCCTCTGCATTCTTTTGCGTCTGAAGGTGTTGAGTGGCATGTTACTTAGGATGAGGATGCTTCAAAATATTTGACGGGCACCTTTTCCAATCGCCCTGCGGGGGAATCAAGACTGAGAAAACAAACCGAAAAAAAAAACACAAAAGCCCAAGTGTCAAGATTTGTTGTTTCTTCTATTGAGAGCGCGACGGAATGGAATGACTCACAGGAATGTAGTGAGTCACCTGAAACTTGGAGCCTCACTTGAGCTCTTAGCCTTTTTTTGCCTCGGAGTTGTACACTAGGACAAGGTTGGCATTTTATTTCATTTCCATTCGGGCCAAGTTAATTGACTCATTTTCCTTGAACGACTACTGACAATTGACAACGTGATTATTATTATTATTATTATTTTTAAATGTGACTTTGAGATGAATAATAATATTGGGCATCCCGATGCACGCTTTTTGGTGGATGTAACTTAAAAACATTAAGTACTGATTTCTTGAGGCAGCAAACTGGTTGAAATCAAATTTAAAAAAATCAACATCAAGATCCGGATTCAACAAAAAGTGAATTGATTATGTCATCAATAGGACCCCCCAAAAAAAAAAAAAAAAAATCAGTAACCCTTTTGTTGGGGTTCCGCAGGGTTCAGCTAGACACACTGCTTTTCAGGCAGGTGACTATTCTGCAGATAACACTTTGACTGAAGGAGGAATTGGAACACGGTGAACTGTCGGCACTCAGTGGAAACATGGACATTCACATTTTGGTAAATGATCTACGTTGCGCATTCAAATATCAGCTTTGGCATCCCTGTGTGGACTTAATGTGTTCTCCCCGTGCTCGAAACAGTTTTTCTTCGGGTAGTCGAACGTCCTCCCATATTGCACAAACATGCACGTTAGGTTTCTCGAAGACTAAATTGTCCACAAGTGCGAATCCAAGTGTGAATGTGTTTTGTCGATATTTAAGCTGCGGTTGGCCGGTTCCCAGTCCAAGATGCACCCAAGTAGGGAAACTTTCGGAAATGAATGGATGGCTCTTCAGGGCCGGTCAAAATGATGGGAAGTCCAACCGCTCGCACGATATGCTAATACGCCGTTCGGAAGTGGCTCACCATGTTCTGAAATCGAAATGAAGCATATTTGAAGCCAACGTTTTATTTCCAGCTAATGCTCCGAGTCGACTTCCACACGCTCCTCCCTGCCCCATTCACCCCACCATAAATTAATGTCGCTCGTGTCAAGTTTGTTGGCTGACAAATTTGTTTTGACGCCTGTTTTAATGTGCGCTTCTCGTGCAGCGCGGCTGATAGAGTTGGCTCACCGCCGCAGCTTCCGAACCCTTGGCGGTTGTCGCCAGATATCTTCCGCAGCATATGCCAGCGTTGGGCAGATGCTCTTCATCTTCAATGAGGAAGAAAAATTCCTGGAGCGATACGTTATTCCTTATTTACGAAGCAACTTATTTACTCCCTGCGCTCGGGGAAGAGACATGCCCCGGTGCGGTTGTAATATAGGCGCAGGGTTTTCACCGATGCTGGAATGAACCGTATCCGGGACTCATCCGCAGCCTCCAGCGTCATTGAAAAAGAAGCTTTTAAGAGTCTGGGGACTCCCCCCTACCGGTAATGCAGCTAGCATGACATATGTGCTCTGTAAGTACAGCGCGACAGACAGAAGACTAAGAGGTTTAGGGAAGTAATTAGAGAGGCAATAATTGAACGACGGAAATCTCAAAATGGTCAGCGTGCAGGAAAAAAAAATGCTTCAAGGGTGTGGGGAGGGGAAGCGCACCTTTGCTAGGTTGGGTTAGCCTGCCTCGCACCCACCACCTTAGAGTCGCGGTTCCCAAGCGCCGGTCCTGGTTCGTGGACCATCCGCTATCGGGCAAGTCTTAGCTTGAAAATCCCGTTCCCGTGCTCTAAGCTTGCAAAAAGGTCTTCGGGGTGCTTCGTTGCAGAAGCGAAAATGAGACAGTCAAAGAAATCTGCATACCAAGAGACAATATCAGCAGTCCTGCTTCAGGGTTCTACATTGTTCTGACAGGATCGCCACAACAGGGCTCATGGTGGCTCAATAGGGGCAACAACCAAAAAGCTTCAATGGAGGAAGCTCGACTTCAGGGTTTTTATCACCGCAGGTTGATTCTCACGCACCGATCCCGCTCTGAATAATATGAGGTGACGAGCTCGCAAATGACGCCACGAAGTCTTCAAAACGACTTCGGTATGTGCAATTGTGTCCTTGATTAATATCAAAGTAGAATGTTCAAAAAGTGCCCCCATCCATGTTCACATTCTATCATTGCAAAGTGGGATTCTCTCCACCAACGGCGACCAAAACAAAATGACGATGGAAATATGTCATGTACTTTGTGATGATGGGGAGCGGATCATTTAGCCAGAAATAAGCACAGGGTTCCCACTAATTACAGCACAACAACTACATTCGGCGTCAAAGTGAGATGTATTTGGACGGGATAATCGCTTTCATTTCTGTGCCGTCTGTGAATATATCGCTTTTCGTGAAACCAATCCGTCAGGCAAATAAAGATGAGGGGACGCTGTGGCACGGCAGTGGCCCTTTTCTCATGAGGAGTACGCAGGAGGTCCTTGGTCACGGCCGACTTGCGCACCATTCGCAAGCTCGACACCTCCTGAGCAACCCCCCCCCGTACGTTGCTTGAGCTTAGTCTGAATAATTATTGATGGGCCGTGCTCTGTGCGCGCTAGTGCCCGTTGCTTGCATTCCTTCACGCCGTTTGTCTCGTACTGGTGGAGGACAGGATTACCGCCCAGGGGTTGGGGGGGGGTTGTCGGAACTGAAGCGTGTGTGTGTGACGGGGGGGGGTTGATGGGTGGGAGTCTTTGCCTTCTGTGCCTGCCTGCCTGCTTAGTCATTTTACGGTGCCATCTGTCCTCAAGCAAAGCGTCAAGTGGCGTCGCCTTGGGCCATTTTTGCTCGCCAGGGCGGATTTGCTATTGATGTACACGTGCGCATCTGCTGTTGAAAATATACATCTGAGTACAATTTCTTTGGTGAAATATCTAG